CGAGCTTGCGCCGACAACCGCCAATATAGAAATCGCAGTTTTCTAGGCGGTAGGTGATAGGTCCTTCAGGGCTGATCGGCTGAGCAAGCCAGGACAGTCGCGGTCGATGCGCGCCGCGTCGAGCTCGCCCATCTTGCCGTATACTCGTACCGGGTAGACGCATGCAATCTTAGCATAGACCTTATCGCCATCTTTGAACCTGACGTTTTCGCCCACAGCCCTTGCCACCGCGGCATGCCACGCTGGTCCAGCAACGCTTCCTACGACATCCAGTGTCCGCTATCATGTAGGCATCCCCGTTGGAAGATGGTAGACCGCGTAATGCATAGTCAGGTACTTCGCGTCGATGTCGTTGCTGGAGCCGTGGATGGCCTGGTTCGGCCTATGTAGTGGCACTCGGTCTTGCACATTTTCATTTCGTAGTACCAGAGCCCCTTGGTACAGGACGTGCATTTCGGCCATTCGCCGCGCAGGTTGTCGAAGGTCGTCGTCTTGCGGTGCTCGCAGTCTGTGTCTCGATGTTCAGGCGTTGGCTGTCCTGCCGGCACAGGAAGGGTCGGATTCACCAGCGCGTGGTCGGTGGCTTTCTTCCCCTCGTGGGGGGCCAGGTTATGCTGGAACTCGGTCGCCGCCCAGCCGAATCGCGCAGCCACCAGAGGAGCCTTGGTCTCTATCATGGCTGCGTCCCTTCTCTCCACGTCGTCGGTCATGTCGACGCCGAAGTTCCCGAACTACTTCGCGCTGGGGGGCGGGGCATCTCCGATCTTCGCGTCCGCGAGATAGCTGCCCGGTGCCTTGCTGCTCTGCGTCACGTTTCACATCGGGCCCCCTCCAGACTTGGCCTTGGCACGTTCAGGGTCGCCATTCCCGCGGCCGTACTCGCCGCCTTCCTTCCACTTGCCCGTCTTCTTCTTGACCGAACTCTTACCTGACGCCTTGCCTGACGGCGGTTTCTCCCCCTCGAATGCCTTCTGGGCCCTCTGCGCTAACGCCTCGAACTCCTCCTGCTCCGCCTCGGGGTCTGCACTCCTGGAAGAAGATGCCGTCCAGGTCGCCCCAGTCACCATAGTCATCGCCGATGGTTGATTCGTCTGGCTGATCATAGTGATCTACGTCGTTGTGGAACGTGCCGCACTTACCCTTCCTCGATCTTCTCTGGATTTCATATCTTGCCAGCAGTCGCCGGCGCATTCCGTTGTTCATCTATTTTTAGGCCGCAGCTCTTTAGCATCCTCTTCGCGCGTGCCCTTTTGTGACAGCTCCTGGTCGGTCTGTTCGCGTTTGATCCTGCGCTCGAGCAGCTCTGTGAGAAACCCCGCCATTCTTTGCCGCGCCGCTCTCCGGCAGCGATCGTGCTTGGAAGTTATTGTGCTCCTGCTTATCATATCGTCCATCGAGGACGACGCGACCGTGTAGAGCTTCTTCAAGCCGCTGCCGTCCTCGTCGGTCACTTCTGCGAAGGGAACATGGCGAGCTAGGCCATCGGAAAGCTCGTTCATGGCGTACTACTCATTCGAGGGGCGCCCCAGCTTCGAGCCTCCCCCCCCTCCTCTTTTTTGCTTGTGTTCTCAGCTGTGGGGTGCCCTAGCTAAAGCGTGGGGGGGGGGGGCGTGGAAGCCCCTCCCCCCGCCTTTTCGGAGCCCGTGGCCATCCCGGGCCTTCCTTTCAAGGGGGGGGGGTTCTTTTGTTCGGATTCTGTAGCTGGGGGGCCCCAGGCTAAATTGGTGGGTGGGGAGGGGGGGGGGGCTTGGAAGCTACCCCCACCTTTTGTTCTTTTCGGAGCTCGGGGCAAACCCGCGCCCCCCTTCCCAAAGGGGGGAGGGCTTTCGGAGCCGCCCTCCCCCTTCTTCTTACCGTTGGCTTTTCCAGCTGGAGGGCCCTGGCTTAGGGGGGTGTTCGAAGCTACTTCTTTGGTTTTCGTCGCTCCGTTGGTTTTTGGCGCAGTTTCGGTTTCGACGTCTCTTTGGTTTTCGGCGCTTCTTTGATTTTCCGATCACTTTGGGCTTTCGGCGCTTCCTGGGATTTCGGCGGTGTTTTGGTTTTCAGAGCTCCTTTGCTTTCCGGCGCTTGTGTTGTTTCGGGTGCTCCTTGTGTTTTCGAAGCCCGTCTCGATTTTCTGCGCGCCCTTTTTGGGTTTATCGTTGGGGGTTCCGGCGCCCCTAGGGTTCTCGGGGCCCCCTTGGTTTTCGGCGGTTTGGGTTATCGGCGCCCCTTTCGTTTTTGGCGCCGTTTGGGTTTTGCGCGCTCTTTGGTTTTCGGCGCTTCTTTTTGTTTTGGGCGCCCTCCGGCTATCTGCGCGCCTTTGGTTTTTGGCGCCCCTGGGTGTTCGACGCCCCCTTGGTTATGGGTGCGTTTTCGGTTTTTCGGCGCCCACTTGGCATTCGGCACATCGTTGGTTTTCGGTGCCCCTTTTGTTTTCGGCGCCTCTTTGGTTTTCGGCGCCCCTTGGGTTTTCGGCGTTTCTTTTTTCTGGGGGTGCTCCTTGGGTGTTCGGCGGCTCTATGGTTTTCGGCGCCCCGTTGGTTTTCGGTGCCCTTTTGGTTTTCTGTTCTTTTTGATGTTCTGTATCCTTGTTAATACAGGCGCATCTTTGGTTTCCGGCGCATTGTTTTGCGTTCGGCGCTTTGTTGGTGTTCGTCATCCTTTTGGTTCTGTGCGTCATCTTGGTTTTCGGCGCTCCTTTGTTTTTCGGCGCCCTTTTGGTTTTCAGTGCACCATTGGTTCTCGGCGCCCGCGTTGTTTTCGCCGCCTCTTTGGTTTTCGCTGTTCCTTTTCGGTTTCTCGGCTTGGTCTTCGGTGCCCTTTTGGTGGTATTCGGCGCTTCTTTGGTTTTCGGTACTGTTGATTTTCGGTGCCCGTTTCTGGCGTTTGGCGACCCTTTGGTTGTCGGCGTCCTTGTTGTTTTCGGCGCCCCTTTGTTTTTCGATGTCCAATTTAAATTCTGCGACCCTTTCGTTTTTGGCGTCCTTTTGGGTTTCGGTGCTCTTTGGTTTTCGGCGCCTCTTTGGTGTTCGGCGCTGCTATGGTTTTCGGCGCTTTTTAGGTTTTCGGCGTCTCTTCGGTTTTCGGCGCCCCGCTGGTTTTCGGAGCCTTTTATCCCGGCGCCGCTTTGGTTTTTGGTGTTCGTTGAGTGCTCGGCGCCTTTTGGTTTTCGGTGCCCCTTTGATTTTCGGCACTCTTTTGGTTTTCTGCGCTTTTGGTTTCTAGTTTCGGCTCCCTTTTGGCTGTCGGCGCGCTTTTCTGTTCGGCGCATCTTTGGTTCTCGGCGCCGTTCTGGTTTTCTGTGCTTTTTCGGTTTTCGGCGTTTCATTGGTTTTCGGTGCCCTCTGGTTTTCGCGCCCTTTCGGTTTTTGGTTGCGCTTTTGTTTTCAGCGCCCTGTTGGTTTTCGGCGCTCCTTTGCTCTTCGGCGCTCCTTTCTTTAGTAAAAGGTGAGCGGGGCTTCCAAGCCTAAACCCTCCTCCTTTGGACAGGGAGGGTACGGGGGGTAGCTTCCAGAGTGCGAAAGGGAGTGTGGGGGGGTAGCTCCCGAGGGGCGGAAATCAGGGTTGTGGGGGGAGCTTCTGGCAGGTGAGGTCCAAGGCGGGGGGGTAATTGAGGGGATACCCCCGTCTCATTAGGAGTGCTCCGCGGGCGCGTTGTCTCCAAGCTTCTTGCCTCGCCCTGCGGAGACATGAAGGCGACCGCGGCGGCCAGCTTCGCGCTGCCGAGGTCTGATATGTAGCGTACACTCTCCCGTCCTCGTCCTCGTAGACCGTCGGGTCGCGGCTGCCAGCGAAGGATTCGATCTTGAGGCCATTGATGCGGCCGCCCTCGAGGGCTTCCGTACGCGGCACACGGTCTCTTCCTTGGGTATGATCAGGCATGTCTGCTTGGAGCCGGTCATCGCTGCCAAGGTTCTTCAATTCCACCACAGTCGCGGCCGTGATGACTTCACAGCTCCGCTACCAGTGCGGAGGACGCGCTGGCAACGCTTGGCTCTCTGGGGTATCCTGGGAGGGACCTATCGGTCGGCTGCGACCGCCTGCTGGAGGGGCAGGGCGCGAGGGCGCGGCCCGACTCCTTTCCAAGCCGCGGCGGCTCGAGGCCTGATCGGGTACGCGGCGCACGGGCGCACGGGGCACCGGGCGCGAGGAGGGAGAGGAGAGGACAGGGGAGAGGGCTGGGCAGCGTCGGGAGGCTCTGGAAGGGCCTGGGAGGGCACCAGCGCCCACACGGCCCCCAGACCGAACAGGCAAGCCCGGGACAAAAGAATACACGTGTACGTGCAACGGAGCCTTACGATAGCGACCCCCGATCGCCCCTTCGTCGCAGAGGGAGCCTGGTGGGCCACCTGGACGCGGCGCCCGCCTCGCGGGTGCCGCGGCGGCTCTCTTCGGAGCGGAAGCACTCCAGGGCGCCCCAACGGGGTCGGAGCAGACGGGGTTAGCGGATCGCGTCGCATCGCGGATGAATTGGCGATGCGGCCCGATGTGGAAGCGGATGTTCTCGGCGCCGACGTCCCCGATTCATCGCCGATGCATCGGCGACACATGGCGCGGTCCTCAAACCCCGTTTGCTCGGGCCCCGCTTGGGCGGCCTCCCAGCACGAGCCGGTTGCCCTTCCCTTGGCCTTCGAGGATCGAGGTCTTCTCGTCGTCCTTGGCGCCTCGGGGCCATGCACGGGGCGCGGGGATGGCTGACATCCGACGGAGGGCCGGCCAAGTTGGGGCCCCCCGGAGGTTCTGGGGATCGGTCTTGAGCTGCTTGACTTTTGCTTCGGGGAAGAGCAAAAGCCGCGGACGCTTTGTCGGTCAGCAGCTGACCCTGGCTCCGCCAGGGGCGCTGCCATGCCGTCGCGGCTCCGCCGCACTCAGCCCCTGCTGGCTCCCGTCTGAGCTCCTGTCTGAGCTTCACGAGGAGATGAGAGTTCACCACCCACACTCTGCGAGGCGATATCGGTTTTGAGGGGAGCCTGGTCGGGACGCTTAGTTGGGGAGTGGCGGGATCGGTACCTTCCCAGGTTTCTCGGCGAAGTGGCGCTCGGCTCCGTCCGCTCCCTGGCGCTGCCCGCGCCTGCCCTGGACTGGGCGCTGGCCGAGGACAGCGCGCGGGGGGCGCAACTTTATACCATTCGTCGGAGGGCCTGGGTGCGGGGTAATGGCACCGAGGGTGATACGATGCGATGCGATGCGGCTCGCCTTCTTGCCAGCTGTGGGACGGTCCTCGAGAAGGCTATCAGCGCTGGGGAGCGCATTTCCGCGAGGGAGTGGTGGAATGCATGCGGGATTTGGTAATTCGGGTGGGGCGGGGGTGGAGATGTTCCTCGCCGTCCGCGTCAGGAGGGGAGGGAGGAGGAACAGAAAAAGGGGACAGATAATATCGGCGGAGGTGGTGGAGAAGGAGGATGAGGAGGAGGATGGAGCCCTCCTCCTCCTCCTCCTCCTCGAGGGCCAGGCCGTGTCATGCTCGCCTGGCGGCGTTTGGCCGCGTTGCGCGGCGCGTCGTCCGAGCCAGGCCGTCTCCCAGAAGTGCGTGGAGGGGGGGCGTGCCGGGGACACGCGGCACGCGGCCTCCCCCGCTGTCTCGCCTGCCCGTTGTCCTCCTCTTGCCCAGGTTCCTCTTGATCTCTGCGCTGCGACGTGGCTTGGCAGCGCAAGAGCGGCCAGGAACGGCTGGCAGAGGTTCGTACCCCCCCCCGCTCTGGGTCAGGTGTTGCGGCTTGCAGGCCGGGGGGTGTTCAAATACATGATGAGATGAGACGCCAAAGAGCAGCATGGCTCCCAACAGCGAGCGGTGATGTAACAAGCCCTTAATGCCAAGTCTCCACAGACGAGGATGAAGTAGGAGGAGGAGGAAGCGGAGGAGGGAGGTGAAAGTAGGGACGAGGGGGACGATCGAGGAGGCGGGGCGGGGGGAGGGATGACCGTTATCGTTTGGCCTCCCTGGGCGTCTGACGGGGGCCCGCGAACAGTCAAGCACACTTTCTGTGGACAGACAAGCTACCCCAGCAGAGAACACCGACGTATTCCATTAGCAGCATGAGGAGGTGACCTATTCCATTAGCGTAGTACGCTCAGTATTCGAATCAATAAGAGATTGATTCATCTGGTTCATACATGTATGCGTAGTAGTAGTAGTAGTAGTAGTAGTAGTAGTAGTAGTAGTAGTAGTAGTAGTAGTAGTAGTAGTAGTAGTAGTAGTAGTAGTAGTAGTAGTAGTAGTAGTAGTAGTAGTAGTAGTAGTAGTAGTAGTAGTAGTAGTAGTAGTAGTAGTAGTAGTAGTAGTAGTAGTAGTAGTAGTAGTAGTGGTAGTAGTAGTAGGTAGTAGTAGTAGTAGTAGTAGTAGTAGTAGTAGTAGTAGTAGTAGTAGTAGTAGTAGTAGTAATAATAGTAGTAGTAGTAGTAGTAGTAGTAGTAGTAGCAGGGGAGTAGTAGTAGTAGTAGTAGTAGTAGTAGTAGTTAGTAGTAGTAGTAGTAGTAGTAGGAGTGTAGTAGTAGTAGTAG